CGACTGGATTTAAAGATTTTTTTTTTTTTTTTTTTGGGTGGGGGCGGCTCAATCGCCTCTTTTGATCAACGCTGAGTTTAGTTGGCTGATTAATTGAGAATAATAATAATACATAAAAAGTATTACTAAACACTAGCAAAAGTGGCAAAAAGTTCCGTTGCCGGGACTTGAACCCGGGTCTCTCGGGTGAGAGCCGAGTATCCTGACCAACTAGACTACAACGGATTTTGCTGCTTGAAAATGTATGATCACATAAAAATACGCTCATCTACATGACTTTGAAGCCTTTATGACGATCCCGGAATCACCATCCTCGTCCTCTCCAAGTTCATGTTGCTCCTCTCAACTACAAAAATAGTGAAGTTGAGTGGAAAAGTATTATTCTCATAATATACCACTCAAATATTGACTTCTAAATTAATAAGCATACCTATGACAAAAGGTAATGTGAAAGTTCCACAATGGGGGAAAAAATTATTTCCAAATGTAACTCAAATCGAAAATTTTTCGGGTTGAGAACTTTGGCAAGAACAAATTTTCAAACTTGGAAATACCTTGCGAACAACTAAAATCGAAAAGAAGAGCAACTAGGAGAGAGTGGCTGAAGGAGCTAAGAGTTCTTGGAGCTGAAATAGAGGTGGTGAATGACCCAAATATTCTCCTTACCAAGCAAAGCAATTCACAATCTTGCATCCTGTGACAAAGAATAATCTCATTGTAGGACAAAAAAAAACAGTGTCTATTCATGAATTCTTACCAGCTAAAAAGGAAAAAATAAAATAGTTGGAAAACCTTTTCCCGAGAGACCTTACCTGTTCTCTGGGAAATTTGTCCTATAACTTCTTTGTAAGTGCTCTTAATCCAGCATCAGCTAGATTACTGAATGCTTAAGCACTTGCATTCTGAACTGTCACAAGCTTGCATACACGATCACAACTCGATTTTTCTTGAAACGATGCAAGTACATACAAGTATACAACTCTATCTGGATATAATCAGAATACTCTCTAATCCAACTCTTTGATTCAGACCCAAAGCGAAAACTATAGTAATTGACATATTTAAATAAGCACTCCCTGCTTGTGTTACAGAAAACTTTCTGTCTTCTTTCTAGCTAGGAACTTCACAAATGGATATGTACAGTATACTCCTTACCGTTACAAATGTTTTGAACCGATTGAAAACATCAGCTTCCAGTTTGCTTTTAACAGATTAAAGCACGGATTGACCAATCTGGACAACAATTTACAGAAATATCAAATCAAGCTGCATTCATCATACTAGCCGAACTCTGAACCAGTTAAAACTGTCAAACTTGATGAAGCTGCTGCTCAAGTAACTCATTCTCCTTCCTGATGGAATCAAGATCTGACTGTAGTTTATCAATGCCAAAGCTACGAGAAGAGAGGGCTGCAAGCTTTGCCTCTAGTTCTGCAGCTTCTCTTCGAGCTCTGTCCGTGGCCAGAATCTTCTCTGATATCTGTTCAAAGCTATCATGGATGCTGGTTAGAAGCCTATATACCTGTCGCCCCATTGCGTCCTTCTTAGCTTCCCTGAAAAATAAATGAGTAAATTGCACTCGTCAAACAATTTCAAGATTTCAATGTTTTCAGGATAGAAGAAAAGAGCAAATTTCCCTCGTTTTTTAAAATATCAGTTCTCATTATGAGTAAATTGCACTCTGCCAAAAAAAATTATGTTTTGCCACTAAAGAAATTTCAGATTATGGGAGCTCTATTATGCAAAGGAATCTTGATGAGTATCTTATTAATCTGCTGTTCAGTAGTTTGAAGAGTCAAGTGAACTGGATGACTAAGGACAACAGTTTTTTCAATAATATTGGGCATGACTGTAGCACAGAATCAAACAAGAAACAAGACCTTGGTTGGATCAGGTTTTGGTTAACTCTTCTATTTTAGCCAGAGATTAACACTCAAATCACAGAGCTGGCTCATAATCTTTAAAACTCTCCTTTGAACTCATAATTAGTAAAGACTTAACAGATATTTTTTTATTTAGTCCAGCCACTACGCTTTTCTAAAGACCAAAATGTCCAAAGAAAATATACTAAATTTCAAAAAATGAGGGGCCTAAATAATGTTTTGACATTTATTGTATGATTGAGAACAAATCCAGCAAGAAACATGGTTCTTGCTTTCCATCTCCTGCCTCTCCATGGATCTTCCCCCCTCTCTTCATGCCCCTCTCAAGATTTTAACTAATATATTTTATTAACTAGTAGGGTGCAAACTGATCAGATTTATCTGACATGCAATCGTATGACTATGTTAATGGATATACATAGACTATTATCTATATCGCCAGCAAAATTTGGATTCTCTCATTATCAAATTGTGAATTACTAAGTTAAGTTCCCTCTTCTTTTCTAATAATTGCTTGAATCAACTATTCCCAAATATCAGATTTCTTCCCTTTTGGGCATTTTAAACTGTGATTTCTAACATGTGCAGTACCATTGCAACTACGTCTGTCACATTCAAATAATCAATGTTTACCTTTCACTTCTCATTGTTTTTTGTTACAGACTCTTCTCCACCAACTTTTTATTTCAAGTTTTATTAATTCTATCAAAATTCAACCATATTTCAGACATTTAACTTTTTATTCAAGATATTTCATTAATCTTGCTAGAAGGTTCCTCAACTAATATTTCATTTGAATCTTGTTATAGGGAAGGATCAAACATGATTTTTATTTAACCAACTGTAAAAACACAATAAAAAATCACAGTGGATGCACCAAACCAATATTCATTTTAATAAAAAACCAGCTAGTTTTTAACAAATTAGGTTATCTATTAATTACTATCATTTCACACTTGCTGAAAGAGAGAAATATTACCTGAAAGCACACAATCTTGCTATTGTCCATTGTTGGCGGAGGAGGTGATTATATCTCTTTGACCCACAGTCGATGGGTTTTTAACGATTTGGCGAAAGAAATTAGTGGAGATCGCATTGTTATCATTGATTGGATTGTCAATCTTGTCTTTGACAAAATGCGTAGAAGTTAGTTAGGGTGTCAGACTGTCAATCTTGTCTTTGATGAAATGCGTAAAAGTTTAGTTAGGGTGTCAGCCGCTCTGTTGGAGTTCGTGGGTTTGGTGAGCTCGTGAAGAGAGGTTCTCACAATTTGTGAATTGCGGGGTGGGAACCTGGGTGTTTTTGCTTGGTTTTATGGGTTTTGAGTTGGGTTTTGGGTTAGGGTGGAAAAAGAAATACTTAAGTTAAAAGGTTAAACAAAACCCATGTTTACAATATTTTTTATTAAAATCCAGATATTAGTATTGTATCCAAAAAGGTCATACATACATACGTACACACATACATACACACACGCGCGCGCACACACACACACGAACACGCACACGCACTGTGCGGACAAGCACACACACTGTGCAGACACGCACACGCACACGCGCCCCCGCGCGCACACACACAACACACACACACACACACACACACACACACACACATGAAAACTCATGTTCATACTGCCTGGTTGCAAATTTTAGTGTCCATGCCAGCTTCCATAACTGCTAAAGTCATAGATCAGAAAAATCCCTATTGGTCGCACCCTTAGGGGCTAGAATTTTATTTCTCCCTTGAGTAAATTATATAATAAACGACATAAATTTGGTATAGGCCCCTCTTTTCTGAAAATTTGGTGCAGCCCAGGACATTTTGGCCTTTGAAAAGGACATCGGCGGCTACACCAAATATAAACATAACGGACGGTATGTTCAATAAATCATTTGGTTAAATTGCCTCGTAGTCCAATTTCAGAATTAAACAAGGGACCAAATTTGCCCTTCCTTTAATATTGTAGAATCTACATGAATGGTCACATGCATCAATATAGTCAAGGAATATGGAAATAATATCTACTTTTTGTAATGGGGAAAAAATCAAGCTGAAACCTTAGGAATTAATACCTGAATACAGTTTCATCAACCACCATATAAGTTCTATCAAGACGCTCTCGTACAGAATTACTCTCCAACTTAAGCTCACGAGTTTCTTTCAGGATTCTAGCAATATCAGCGTCTTGTTTCCAGCTGTTCTTTGTAATCTCAGTTATGCGTTGAATGTAAGATTTTCTTGGGGGAAGTTTAGGCTGCTTCTGAAGCTCAGCAAGAAGTGTGGAACATTCCAATTCTCTGAAATAAACAACATAATTAATTAACAATGCAGAAACATATTCATGAATTATTCCAAGGAAGTAATTACAATTGTGCATACTCATGAATTAATCCCAAGATAGCAGCATGGTAATTATAGTAAATCCCAAGATAGCAGTCATGTTAATGAATTTTTACCGCCTGTTTATTTCAGATATTGTTGCTTCAGTTTCTTGCTCAATTTCTTTCAACTGATCTGGTTTTTCTCCCACCCCAGGTTCTAGGATATGAGCTGACAGCCCATGAGTCATCTTTCTTTCTTCCATCGTTTGTTTAAGACAATTCCTGGAACATATAGTAACTTTAACATAAAGCTTCAGATATACTGATTACTAGGGCTCCCATATCATATATCCTACCATTGTGATTCCAGTTCCTTAATATTACTTCTCCTTGATTCCACTTGCTCGTTGAGCTGTCTTATAAAATATCCAGCATCATGTTGATCGTCAAATGCCATGTCAACAGCTACTTTCAATATCTCATAATCATGTTCTAGTTTCTGAACTTCCAAGGCCTTCACACGTTTTGCCTCTATCAACAGCTTTTCTTGACTTTGTAAGTTCTTCACTCCATCTCTTAACTGCATACAATGAGGTAACAGACATCCAATCATAAAAAATCTGTTGATCGGAAAACATTTCACCTATGCAGAATTTGACATTAGGAGCACCGAAACCCCCACAGAAAATTACCATGGGCATGTTCAAAATGGCTATACAATATGCAAACTAAAAGCATATCAAAAACATGTAAAAAACATGTAAATTCAAGATCAGAGGCGATACAAGCGAAAAACAAACGAGACACTGAAACACCATTGGTCAAGAAGTGCATAACACACTCATCAGTCATTTTGGGCAATTTAAAAGTCACTAAGAAATATTGCAAGAAATATTTATGGTTGCCAAAGATAATCAAGATAAGATGGTAACAAACACCATAGGAGTCTGCAAAAACGATCAAGATTCAGTGCTAATAGTCATTAAACTCATACACTCAAAACATCCAGAAAACAGAAAGATTTTGTGACACCAAACATAATGTACTGAACATAATCAGTTGGTAAAGAGAGCATTTCAATTGAATATATTACTTAACATTATTTCAATATGATTACCTTGGATAGTCGTACTTTCAGCAAAGCCAACTTATCTTCAGGTTCAACGGCAAACATATTTTCTATCTGGCAGACATGTTCTCCATCAGCCCTTTCATTTGGTTGATTTGCTGCATCTTTATCACTATCTCCCGTATCTTTTTTAAGAACCAAATTCGGTTCTCTTGCAATATTATCAGTGCCTTTTCTATCTTCAGATGATTCAGAGAGCTTCCCAACCAGGAATCTCACCAACTTACTTGAGTCCTCGTCTGATGGATACAGGAACTGCCAGAATCAACATACATATTCTGCTTCTAAGAAAGTTAATGGAACAATTATGAAAATGGTAACCAGATTCAGAGGGATAGGGACTACAGGATAGTTACGATAAAAGTAATGTAAAATCAGAACACATACCAAATTGGAAGTCATCTATTTGAAAGATTCACTTCACCTAATGAACAAGTGAGTTTCAAGGACAAAGACATAAACAGCACGAGCTATTATAATAATCAATTTATTTCAATGATCTCAACTTTTTGTGTGAATTAAGACAGAGTGTAAATAAAGCTTCAAAACCAACATCTCAAAGCACAACAGATATGATCAACAATCAATAAAATTCTTCTATTGATGTGCAGATAGATGAAGGAACCAACATAACATAGCATATAGTTCTCAATCATTAGAGAAACACATGCCAAACAGTCAATTATTCGGTTTTTAACTGAGTGCTAAAACTGGCTAAGTGCAGAAGAAATTAGAGAACATGCCAAAACAAGGAGAAGAGTTAAATCAACTTAAGTAGAAATAGGTGGTATCCCTGTTCATCAAATTATGTGCTTGCTAGCAAATTTCTAAATTCAACCCGACGTTTTCGGGGAGTTAGAAACAGTAGTCGGCATTTATGCAGCAGAATTGTGGGAATGAGGGAACCTAAACAGCAGTTTTCTAAATACAAGGACATCTTGTGACTTCCAGTAAATAAAGGTGAGATATTTAAGCAAAAAAATGAAAAATACTGTGCATGTTTATGAATTTTTGACACCAGTGGCTTCTTAATTTCCATAAATCCAAAAAAAATCACAAACTTTGATCATAACAATGTAAAAAAGAAAAGATGGGTACCTGATGGAAGCTGAGGGGTTCTCTATATCCTAAACCTTTGACTGCAGAAGCCAAACCCTCGCAAATCTTGAACTTGTCCGCCATTGATGAAGGAAGAGAGGTTGGAAAAGAGGAAGATGAACCGTCGATAAGAGTCAAAAGTTGAGCGCAGATGGAGACGAGAGAATCAGGGGTCAGGTCTTTAATTGAAGAGATATTCGATGGGAGAGAGATTCCTGTGCTCTGAAGAGAGTACAGAAGGATCTCTTGAGCCTCGTCCATGGCGAAGTAGGGATTTGATAAGCGAAGATTAGGGTTTTGATCCGCTGCGTGCGAACTGAGGTTCTCCTTGTGGAACTCGAAACTTTGTTTGTACTGAGCCTGTTTTTATTATAAAGTTTACAAAACTCCTCAAACTTTGGAGGGTTTCAGAAACGTCCCCTAAACTTTTTGCCATGCAAATTCCCTAAACTTTGGAGGCTTTGTTTGGATTGAGGTAAACTGGTTTTCATGCCCGTGCAAAGCACATATTGTTTTATAACTTTACTTTCTTAAACGTGTAAGCAGATTCATTAATAAAGCTAATATCACTTAATATTACTAATAGTTAATATTATTAATAAAACTAATCATTAATCACTTAATATTACTAACATGCAACCCATAAGCTTATTACTATCATTACCAAACATGAATATTACTCATAATCAACTAATAAGATTATTACTATTATTATCAAACATCTAAATCTCATAAAATTCTCCCACATTAGTAACAAAAAGATCTATAATACTACAAATTAAAAAAAATGCATTCCGCTAACAACAAAATCCTCAAGTTACCCAAACTACCTAGTAATCCTCAAGTTATCCAAGTCAATATCAATAATTGGACAAATTGCCAAACAATTACTAACACACAATCAATTTTCTTCATGTCTACACAAAATTTTACCCAATTAAACCACACAATAAAGTTACTCCAAACAAACCAAAGAAACCCCTTTATCAAGTCAATATTGAATTAATCCTCAACCAACATATTTGTCATGTTTTAACTTAAAATCAGTAAAATTTTTGACATAGTAAACTGTACAGCTTGGAACGTAAGATTTTCTTGCTGCTCTTTTTGATTTCTGACAACCTCAAGAAATTTTATGTGCTTTTAGCGATAATGCTTTCTTCTTATTAATCTCCAACTTGTAATTCTGATGGGTTGTCAATCTTAAACTTGACCTAAAATAAGCATCAACCAATAAATTAAATATGTGTGTACTAGAGTTGAAAATAAGCATCTGGGACATAGTATAAACTAATATGCGAAGTAGGGATTTGATAAGCGAAGATTAGGGTTTTGATCTGCTGCGTGCGAACCGAGGTTCTCCTTGTGGAACTCGATTTTTTTTTTTACTGAGCCTGTTTTTATTATAAAGTTTACAAAACTCCTCAAACTTTGGAGGGTTTCAGAAACGTCTCCTAAACTTTTTGCCATGCAAATTCCCTAAACTTTGGGTATCTGTCTGACCCAACCTGAGGCTATGTTTGGATTGAGGTAAATAAGGGAGGGGAGACGTTTACGCTGTTTGAATAGTTTTTTTTTTCTTTTGGTGAAGGTTCCATCAGGTTCACGTTAGTTCATCTTCAACAACAAAAAATTGTTTCCCCTCAAAGTGAGCTATAATGGAGGGGAGTTGAACTCCCTTTAACATTCCTTGATCTTAAATTTTTTTTAAGTGAGTCTGTTTTTATGATAAAGTTCACAGAACTCCTCAAACTTTGGAGGGTTTCAAAAACATCCCCTAAACTTTGTTCCATGCAAACTCTCTAAACTTTGGGTGTCTATCTCACCCTACCTGAGACTCTGTCTGGATTGAGGTAAATAAGGGAGGGGAAACATTCACCTTTTTTGAATAGTTCCTTTTTTCCTCCTTTTTTTGGTAAAGGTTCCCTCAAGTTCACCCTCAACAAAACAAAAATTGTTCCCCCTCAAATTGAGGTTAATGGAGGGGAGTTGAACTCCCTTAACATACCTTCTCTTCTCCCCCCTATTTTTGGACTCCCTTAACATCCCTTTTTCTTTTCTCCCCTATTTTAACTTAACTTCCCTTATCCCCATTGAAATCCAAACATGTCATAAAAGTAAATCTTATTTTTGTTAAATCTACTTTTAAAACTACCGTAAATCTATTTTAAATCCATAAAAATTCTATTTTAAAAATAGAGTTTTGATTGATTTAACAGTAAACTTAACAAATATTAATAATTAAAATATGCTAAAATTTAGCATGTGGGTATTGCATGAGAAATTTAAAGAAAAAAATACTGTCATTTACATAGTTGAGAGTATTAAGAATAAACTTTATAAATTTTACCATATATAAGTGCTGCCAAAAAGAAATGAGGATAAATAAATACATAGTAGGGTATTTAAGTGCAATTAGACCTACATTTCGAAAGGGAAAAAAATACTTCTGCAATTTCCGAAAGAAGGGATCACTTTATGAAATTGCAGTTAATAGAGTTTTAGGACAAATTTTTATAACCAATCTATTTTGAATTTTATTCCTAAAAACAGACGCATTTCGAACTTAATTTCAAAAACAGACCTAGTTGGCTGAAACTGGGTCTGTTTTTGAAAAAAAAGTTCCCAAACTTCACGGGAGTTGAAATCCCGTAAAGTTTTTTATATAACAAAACTTCACGGAAGTTTAACTCCGGTGAAGTTTAGGAATTTTTTTTTTTAAAAACCGACCCAGTTTCTGTCCAACTAAGTCGGTTTTTAAAATTAAGTTTGAAACAGGTCTTTTTTTGAGAATTTTTTTGCAAACAGGTTGGGTTTGAAATTTTGTCCTAGAGTTTTATGCATAAAAAAGCGAACAAATTTTCAAATAAGCCCCAAAAGGATTTTTATTTTTCAAAATCGACCCGATTTTTATTTATTTATCAAAATCGACCCACTTTTTGCCACGTGGGCTTAATGAAGTTCCTAAACAATCGGGGTTGGCAACCCCGACTGTTTAGGAGATTGTTAAACCCCAATTAGAACCCTTAAACCCAAAATTTTTATGTCCTAAACAGTTGGGGTTGGTAACCCCGACTGTTTAGGAACATCATTAAGCCCACGTGGCAAAAAATGGATCGATTTTGATAAATAAATAAAAAACGGATCGATTTTGAAAAATAAAAAACTTTTTAGGGCTGTTTTGAAAAATTCCTCTAAAAAAGCCAAAGAAAAGAAAAGAAACCAAATTGCTGCCTTCGGAGCTTCGGTCGCCGCTCTCCAGGGAGTACGGTTAGTCGATTCTCTCCTCTTTCCTTTTTAGTTTTTCTTGATTTAAGTTCTACATGCTTTTTAATATTTCTTCAAGTTTTATGGTTGACTGAAACCCTAGATTCATGATTGTTTCAGGTACAAGCTGATGCAAACACAATGCCAATGATGTCAATCAGTTTTTTCGAAGTAGAATTTTAAAGAGCATTGGCAATTTTACAGGGACAACAAAGAATTCAATCTCGAATTTAATAAAATTCCTTTTTTTTATTTACCAATTTCCCCAAAATTTTAGGGGTTAGATAGCCGACAATGCAGAGAAAGGACAATAAGGGGCTGTTTGGTTGCACATTTTTTTAGAAATCTTTTCTCAAAATATCTGACAATGATAATTTTGTAATTAAAAGTTTTCTATAGATTTCTGTAAATTGTGTTTGGCTCAACAAAAAATTTATAGAAATATTTTCTATAAAATCTCAAAAACTACCAAATTTTACAAAAAGCAATTTCCTCTCAAAATGAGAGGAAATCAACAGGAAATCTGAAGCAATTTCCTCTCAAAATGAGAGGAAATCAACAGGAAATCTGACACCTTCCTTATTTAATCAACAAAACCCGTCCCATACCCATTTTCTATAAAGTTATGAGCCATTTTCTTGTTTTGAACCAACCAAGCAAAGTATAAAAAATAAGAAAATTGTTACTTTTGACTTCTCAAAATTTTTCCTATAATTTTTTTAAGAAATACAAAGAAATCATATTTTGGGTGGAAAACATTTCCTATAATTTATAGAAATTGAACCAAACTTAGCGGCCCTTTAATCTAGAATCCTAATATTATGAATAATTTTACATTTTTTCATGGAACTTATTTTTTTGGAGCACCGTGCTTTTCGTTTGCTGAGATTATAGTGAATTGACTGTAGTATCATAATTTTGCCAACAGGTGATAGTTCTGGGTAGGAAATATTCGCGTTGGTCTATGAGCTCTCCCACCGGTGAGAAATTTGATTTGGATCTGCAATGTATGCGTGATCATTGAATTACATAAACTATTGGTTGTTTCTATAATTAGTTACCATCTTTCTGAATTCTTTCACAAAAATCACATATCATTCGATCTCGTAACTGAGATATTCGTGAGACCTTGAACTGCTGGAAATACTTTTTGCTGTTGCTGCTTTCTCCCTTTGTCATTTTTTTTTTGCATGCTTTTATTTAGATCTGTATAATTTCCATAGATTTTATTTGGAGGGTGCTGTTTGGCTTTTTTCCCCTTACCCCTTCATTTTATGGTCTGCCACCAGATGCTTAACAGCATTGTTTTGAGTATAGCACTGACTTCTTGGTGCAAATGATCAATCATCCGAAGACTGTGCGTAGAGATAACTGTTGAGATGAAGAACGATAGAATGAGATCTCCTTTGTACATTATCGTACAAATCTTCTTTGTGCATTCTGCTTTGCCAAACATTTATGTTGAAGTGTGAAACAGGATTAGTTATTATTCTAGATCATCTTCCAGACATAGGTTTACAGTCATTTGGCTTAGAATATCTTACATAAAGATGAATATATGACTTCCAACACACGTGAATATATGACTTCCAAATGTGTTGTAACGTTTGCTGCAATTTTCTAAACAAAAGATATGTACTTAACTTACGAAAATATGCACTCATTTTATTGAAGGATCCTACAATGCTGGATATAGATGGTGGGAGCCTCTGTAGACTATGAAGACGTGAGTTAGCTGAATGGATTATGATCCCAATTTCAGACTCCTAAGAGTTAGCACTGTAGTAGGAGTGATGCCTGGACTTGAGTCATCTCCATTGGTTAGCTTGTCATCTCTATGACTACAGATTAAATGTATGTACTTATATCGACTTCATTGATTTATGTATGTCTGGTGCCCTGAATTATGAAAATAATCAAATAAGTGACTGTTGAAAATTGAAATTCTATTAACGTTTAAAATTCTGATCAATGAACATAATTTCCTGGTTCACTCAAATAGTTGAAGAATATAAAATTTCTGGTCAAATACCATTTGTCAATGCACTCTGCTACTCTAGCTAGCA